TATATATATATATATATATATCCATAAAAAAACTGAAGGTGACCTTGAGAACTCTGAAACAAAAAGAGGTTGACAAAAAATTCGGTACAATCATCTTAACCTCTTGAGGGATACTTACTGGCGCGTATGTTTACGTTTATTTTTCCTTTTTCATTCAAGCATCATACGAAAATTGTAATTAATTATTCACTAGAAACTTCCCCACCAAAACAGGTTACTCTCTTAATTGATCGTTGTTAATATTTATAAATATACTTTAATTAAGTACAGTTGAAAAAGGAAAAGAGGTTTAGCTCTTCTTGAATCCTGTTACACTAGCCAACAAAAATTTTCGATCGAACAGCCTAGCCAGTAGAATAATCCAAGCTGATACCGCGTTTCATGGTCCACCCTGTATTTACGTATACCTACTGGGGTTAGGAAAGCACCAGGGAAACTGAGAGAGCGCAAGAAGAAGCCCGCAACCGTGAAATTCCCTCGCCCGCGTGGCGATTGCGGTGAAGTCGTTCATTGACTTCTCTCCCACCTCCCTCCTTCTCTCTCTCTCTCTCTCTCTCTCCCTCTCTCTCTCCCTCTCTCTCTCTATCTATCTATCTATCTTTCTATCTCCATCGCGAGGTTCTCCCCTCTTCGAGCCGCCGCGGGTGCATCCGGATTATTCGTTCACGTTGCAGCTCTCTTGCGGCGGAGTGCACTTACGTACACACGTACACACATGTACGTTTTCATCCTCTTACTCGGTCTCTCCCGCTTCTCTGCTTTACCTCTTTCGCCTCTCTCCCTATCCCCGCGACACCGGTGTGTCCCCTCCCTCTCCCACCGCGCGTCCACGCGTTCCTCTTCGTGACAGAAGGAAGAGAGGTAGGAGGGAATGGGTGTCGAAGAAGAAGGGGGGGTCGAAGGAACGTAGAGACTGCCGGGCACGACTCCGTGTGTCGGAAGAAGCGGGCTTCGCGAACCTCGACACTCGGTGTGCGTTCAGCGTCTAGTTGCCGGTGGTTCTTGCTTGTGGTTACACAGAGAGAGGCTCTGCATTTTCCCGCCGCTGTCCCCTGGCTCTCCTTGGTCGCGTTGCTGGATATACGCGCCACACCACTGAGGAGGATAATTCAAGGTATAGGACACCACCTGGCCGCGTGTTGCACCTGGCACCCGATCTTTGGGAATTTCGACCTCGCCGAATGACTGTTGTCCATGCCTTGAGAATCGACAGCGTTCTGGGCAGCGAGAAAGAGAGTTGTTCGAACGTTGTTCCATTAGGATCGTCGTTGCACACGTGGGTTGCTGTGCGGTTGTTACTCTGGTGGCGCGGTGTGTGCAGTGGCCAGTAGCGCTGGTGTGTGTGTGTGTGAATCGGTCGTGTTCGGCAGGAGAGACAGGTGTGAAACCCGGTGTATCGAGTATATACTTCGGCTCTATCGAGTTTCGAGCAATTGCGTAATCGCGAGGAGGAGATCGCAAGGAATGCAACACCGCGTTAACACTTGGCTGCGTGTGGGACTAGAGAATTCTGCAGACTCTCAGCGTGTCTGCACGATAGTCAGGTTAACGATAGATCGCGGTCTGGATTAATGGCGTTGAAGGGTAATCTTCGCGTGTTGCACGAATGGAATCTGTCCCGCCACTTTTTCTTACATACGTTTCAAATCTGATCCCTCGTGGAGAGACTGCTGTCGACTGGAGAATGTATTCGGAATTGTAATGGTTTCATTATGAAGCATTTAACCAGTGGAACTGAAATTTTCTTTGTTATCGTCGATATCGTCACTGAAACATCACAAATTGGCAATAAGTGTTTTCCTGATGAAGATCACTCCAAATATTGATTAATCAGGCATGCATATGTATCAATATTCTTGTCACGTACGCTTAAATTGTTGCCTACAGAGCCGGTTGCTGCTCGAGTGTGGAAACGAACCTTTGCCCTGGCTATCTTTGCGACACTACCGGAACCCCGTGTCTCGTGCGTTAATCTAGCTCGTACTATAGATGGCAAATAGGTCGAAACGATATCGTGTGGATGAGAAATATTCGCAAAACCGACAGTGAATTCGTCGCTGTAACGAAATAACGTGTTCGATCGCGAATCGCTGAATGGTGCCGAACCTTGGCCAGCGCCGAAGAGGCGCTATGGAGGCTCTACTTTCACTTGCGAAAGCACGGGTACTATGTCCGATTACAAAAGTATACCTGGAAGTAGTTATTTAGAATCTAGAGACACACCTTAGGTCTTTTAGGGCTGCGATCTTTTCGGAAAAGTATTTCCAGAGGTAGCTCGATCGGAGACTAAAAAATACTGAATATCTTTCAGAATGTGCAGGTCGTTAAAGAGGACGATCAGGTCAATCGCGATCAGTACCAAGAATCTCACGACTCTTATAACGAAAAAATAATCTTTCATTTCACTTGCAATGTTCCATTCAGCGTCGTGCACGCGTCCTTTCTATCTCAAGACGATCAGTGGCAGAGCACAAAGAGACTTCAGTATTTTCCAGGTGTCTATTCGTCGGCTCAAGTAGGAAGGGAATCTTTCGATCCTCTCCATATAATAACGAAACCACTTCGTGTCAGGTCCGTTCGTAGAGGACGTGAACTAAACTCGTTTTTTTCTCTCTTCTGTGCAGGGTTCCTTGCCGATCCATCGCGGAGGTTCCAGCCGCGTGCACACCATTATCGGTGAGTAACAGTTTCGAGTTGACGGGGCGACCGAGAATACAACCGCGCTTCATTCCGCATGCGAGACACGCGGCCGAAGAATTCGCTCGACAACAACGACGACGTTTCGCGAGCAACGTTCGGTTTCCTTCGGCTTTCGAACTGGCTAATATCAGCGCGATTCACGATCTACGGTTAAAATCCATTCGTGATCTTAGATAGATTCTCCGTGTTTATCCAAAATCGGTGATGTGTTCGAAACAACAAAATATTCCGAGTTTTGTTGAATTCACAAGAACTGTGATCGTTTATACATATACACTATTGTCCATAAGTATGTGGAAACTTGGCCTGTACGATGAAAATGTGATGTTTTGCAAAACATATATTTTAGTTCACATTTATATTATTTCATAGTAACACAAAAGCCTTGTCCATTGAGCGTTAATATCCTCTAACTCTAAACGAAATTTACTTCAGGCTTTGAGCAATGCCATAATGCCTGGTAACTAGATTGTTACAATTTCAGATACTAATGTGTACAAATTTAAAAGAGAGTAGAATTTTCAATTCTTTGCTAGAGGCTTAATAATGGTATCAAACTTTATTAAAACCTTTATTTTATTGCATTTTTCAAGTTAATAGATGCTATAAATGCATAAACCTCTGCAGTCCACTGATAACATTTACTACACATTCAATAAGTTTCTTTCCTCATACTTATGAACGGGAGTGTACATCCTTGACCCTATGCTTACCGGACGCTATTCAATGACCTTTGCAGATTCAACGATTAATAACTCCAGTTAATAAAACGAAAATCGGTTGGTCAGGCCTTGGTAGTCGTCCACCGATAGGGGATAATTAATCGTAAAATGAACTCCTTGGATCTAAACGCAGCGGTCGCAGAAGAAAAAAGGAAAGGTAAAAGAGGGGGGAGCCTTGGACGCGAAATAAAACGAAGCCTTGAAGAGCAAGGGAGAGCAAGGATACGTAGGGCGAAGGGAGTGGCAGAGAGTGGTCAGACTGGTGTAACAGGACGTTACTCCTTGGCTGGCAAGGGCAGGCCCTCGTATCGATGCTCTCTTCTCTTTCGATCCGAGTCTCTAAGTAGTCTAAGTCTAAGCGCAGGAATGAAGCGTGTGCACTGTCTCTCACTCTCTGGAGGGTTCTCGTTGCAGGGTCAAGGAACGCGGAGAACGATATTCTCTCGACGGTTTTCACGAGGTTCACGCCAGTCGATCGTACCGTTACCAAACTCTCCCCACCCCCCTTCGATGGACGTGCTAAATTTTGGACGAGAAATTCCTTCGTAAAAATCTGAGGACAAGAGTTCCTTCTTCGCGATTTGAAAACAAGAATTTTCGTTCGTACGAATTCCCGCTCGATGTTCTTCGGGAATTCTCGCGGTGCACCCGCGAGATGAATGAATTCCCGCGGTTGCCGGAATCGGCGCGCGTCGAGCTAAATAACTTTCCGCGCGTGGCTCTCTCGTCGCCTCGCTTCCGGCTTGTCCGTTTCATAGAATCTAATTTTAAAGCCCCGGCCAACCAGCCCTACGTACGTACGAACGAGCGAGCGGATGGACGTTGACATGAAAGCTCGTTAGATGCTCGTCGTATGGAAATAATTGAACCGTCAGACACAGAAAACACGTTGCTTGGTAGAGATCGCTCCCTCCCCGACCCATTCGATGATCCGCCCGTTCGTCCGCTCACTGCCAAAATTAGTCGTCGTTGCAACGGAATTTCTACCCGTTGTTGTGTACACCATTTATTGTTTTTCGAGAACACGTGCGACGTTCTTCGAGGAAACCATTCACGTTGCTCGAGATCATAAGGGGGTGGCTTCTCGCCGATTTTCATCGACATGAGATTTTCGTGAGTATCGAGTTTGACCTTCGGAAGACAAGGCGATACCAGAGGAAAACAATCGTCGTCGAACTGGTTACACCCGGCACCTTGCGTATCGGAACAAAGACCACAATGATAGCCACCGTATTATTGGGTCAGAATGATCACACACACACACACACACACACACACAGACCCCCACTGTTCGCAGTATCGTCGATTTTTTTCATCTATGTCACTGCAAGATAACGGGCCTGTCCCCTGTTTGCTCGTCCTGTCCTCGTGCCCGTACGATTAGACCGACGATAATTCTGTTTGCGTGGCTCGGCAGGTGACATTTCACTCCACGGGAACTATAATCAGAGAATACCAACCAGAGGTCGTGCTATTAGCGATACGAACACGTGAACAGCGCGTAGAAACTCGATAAAATGTTGTTGCAAGCCTCCTCTCGTGGTACGAGAATTTCTCTATCGTGGTTTTATCATCCCGCCGTACACACACACACACACACACACACACATTTGTGTAGAAATGGCTAACTCACTTGACACGAACGCTAGGTACGCAGAAGAGTCAGTCAACCGATGTTATTCCGCAGTCTGACAAATTCGATTTCGAAGTTTCTGTCTCCGTTCGGCCGAGGAAAATAGAAGCATAACCTGGCAGGATGTGTGTGTCCCTTATCCCGCAATCTCGATGTCGAACACGAAGTGCTGGCGGGGAAGAGGATCGATCCTTTTCTCGCAGTATATACGACGGGGAACAAAAGTACAAAGTAATCCTGGCCCCAGGACCCCGGGTGGCGGCTGCGGAGAAGACGTAAGCGCCCCGAAGTAGAGCGCGAACGAGCACGTGGTAGTAAGAATCGGCCGTATTACTTGCTCGCTCGGCTGTGAATTACTGGCTCGCTGAACAATCCCATTTACACGGATAATCAGAGTGAGGCTGGCTGGCTGGCTGGCTGGCTGGCTGGCTGATGGTCGAATCGTCGCGAGCGGGATGATTGTTACACCGTTGCCCTGATAAAAATGGAAGAACGTTTCAACGCGCGTTACCGGCCACGGAATAGACGCGTTTGATGTATACTTGTTGGATTTCTTTGAGGATTGCATTGTTTCGAGAAACAACGGGCCACAGAACAGAGAGAGACAGGGACTGGCTCCTGGTCGACCATTCAATTCGAGGGAAAATTTCTCTCTTATGTTTTCGATCCCTTCAAGTCGAGAGATTCCATCGTTGCGTGGTTTAGCCCCTCTATAGCTCCGTGTGACTTCAAAGTCACATACCGATGCGCAGTAAATTTTCGATAAATGCTCGAAACTCGGGGTCGCTTTGGAGCATTTATCGCAGAGGGACACGTTTTGTGCGTTTCATGAATTGTTACTTCATGAATACATTTCGGGCTGAGCTTTTTGTGTCTCTCTCTATGTGTGTGTCACAGTTGGGCAGAATTGTATTTGAATAACACATAGTGGAAAGCTGTAGTATTTAAGGGGATCATCTGGAGCTTTAAAGAATTAGTGAGATTATATATTTGTTTGCCAAATGTCGACTTATTTAAAAAAAAGTTTTTTGCTGCTGTGTTCTACAACCTCTGTTTGGTAACCGATAATATTCTTCGTACTAATTATCAGCTCTAGCTCGAAATATTGGAGTAATAATAAAATCTTCGAAAATTGTAAATTTATTGGTAATTATATTTGTTGATTTCACGTTATATAAATCTCTTAGCTTATAGCCAAGAAAAAAGAATCAGGCTTTAGAGATACGTCTGATCGTTGAACACCACGATGTTATCTCGAGACTTTGGAGCGATGTTTCGCGAAGCTGGAGGCCAATTTACGTGGATACAAGGGGTGGACACGGAAGCGTTCGACGTTTCGGGGCCACTCGCCCTCTGTACATGACCACGACAAATGGGCGCGAAAGCTTCGCTGGATGGAACGTCTTTCCCTCTGCACGGTGCAAATTAGCGCAGGACCGAACAAAGCCGGCTTCGCGCATAGTTGCTCGGCACCGGTAGTCGTTCGACTAGTTCTCGTTAACACGCTCGTTGGGGAGGCGTCTACCATGTTGATATTAATGAGTAGTTCTAAAAGGATTTCCCCTGCTATAGTGTTGCAATAAAGGTTTGAGGATGGGGGAGACTGGTCGAAATCGGGGGACCAACTTAATTCGTTAAACGTTAATTCGTTGTGCACCGAAGTCGTATTACTTTCTTATTAACGGGCTAGCTAACTGAAAAAGCCTATTAACTTACCTCATAGATCGGGGCTGAAGAAGAAATTCTCACATTATTCTATTAGTGTTCTTGTTATTTTTCATGATTGTAATTCCCTACTGTGATTAAACAGTTTCACAATACTTGGCTGTTGATCATTAGATCTACTAAACCTGTTAAATAACAGCTGGTAGGTAATATGTTAACGAGTAAGATTTCCCTCTAAAATCTTCCTAAATGGTTTCTATAGTTATCTTTTCCAAGCACAGAACAGGGGTCAGTCTTCGCATTAGAATTCCAGAGAATCAACTTTTGCAGACGGTGAATACGTTTTCCCAAGTGGCCTCCCCGTATCGTCAGGAATGCACCGACCGGTTCCCGTTTCATTATCATGTTTCCCCACCTTTCTCGCGTAAACGTCACCAAACACTTAACCGAGCGCAGTCTTGGTGTTGACATAACTGTCTTATTTGACCGGAAAACGCGCGCGAGTCCTTCCCCCGGTGCTCTTGTGCTTCTAGTGCCGTTTCATTCAGGGATGGGGCGGGATCGGGCTAATGTGCTAAAGGATCGCGAACAAGAGTCTCGGATCCCTGTTTGCACAAACGATTTAAACTGTTAACACGTCGAAGTCGTCCGTCGATCCTATGTTTGCACGTTGTTCGCGTGTAACTTCCGCTCGCCGCACGTACAATTTCGTTTTTCGACCGAGTTTCCGATTTTTTTTCTTGGTAATTGAATCGTTCTCCTCTTGATCGAAAAAGAGATATCTTTAAATAAACTGTGCGCAACCGTTTGCTGCGAAAAGGGGAACGAAAAATGCTCTATGGCTTCTATACTCGAACCATTTCTTTTTCCAGTTCTGCGTTATTGAAACTTTGATTCGTTTGATATGGATGCGATCGGTTTGTTTCGAAGGGAATTAAAAAGCTTTGCCACCGTAG